AAAAAAAAAGAGCTCTTCAAAAGACATTGTTAAGAGAATGAAAAGACAAGTCACAGATTGAAAGAAAATATTTATAAATCACAATTCTGACAAAGAACTGATATCCCAAATATACAAAGAACTCTCCAAATTCACAATAGGAATAGGCAAATGATTTGAACAAACATGTCACCAAAGAAAATATATGAGTGATAGATAAGTATATGAAAAGATGCTCACCATCATTAGTCATAAGGGAAATAAAAGTTAAAACCACAATGAAATACCACTTCACACTTATTATAATCACTACAATTTTTTAAAAGCAACAATATCAAATGTTGACAAAGATGTACAACAATTGGATCTCTCATACATTGCTAGTGGGAATGTAAAATGATACAAGCCCTTTGGAAAACTGTTAGTGTCTTATAAAGTTAAACCTACATTTGCCAGCAATCCCACTTATAAGTATTTGCCTGATCAATGAAAACATATATTCATATAAAAGCCTGTACATGAATCTTATAACAACCTTATTCATAATTGTCCAAAACAAGGAATAACATATATGGCAGGGAATACTCAGCAATAAAATAAAGTGAAATATTGATACCTGCAACAACATGGATTATTCTCAAAGGTCTTCTGCTAATTGAAGAAAGTCAGGTCCCAGAGGCAACATACTGTCTGATTCCATTTACATGACATTGTGGAAAAAGGCAAAACAACATATCAGCACTGAAGAACACATCAGTGGTTGCAATGTTTAAGTGTGGGACAATGAGATGATTACAAAGGGGGCACCTCAAGGGACAATTTTGGTGTGATAGAACTGTGTCTTGATTATGGTGGTGCTTACAGGAATGTATCATTTGTTCAAGTTGATAGGACTGTATGCTACAGAGTAAATTTTACTGCATGCAAATTAGAAAACAGACAAATAGAAACAACAAATCCATATATTATGTGAGTTTGGTACACCTGCTAATTTTTATGAAATCTCTCTTTCTCATTTTGAGTATTTAAATCACTCTGGAGTCAGTGCCTGTCAGAGATAGATTCTGCCCCCCACCACCGGTGTGTGTGTTGTGTGCGTGCACACGTGTGTTTTTCTATCTGTCTCCTGAACTCAGGTTTCCAAGGGAGTGGAAATCATCCATGCTCAAATAATTATTTCATCTCCATCTCAACATAAGTCACCTTTTTGTTAATGGAAGACAGGAAAAGTTTCTGGAGGCATGTTAGCATGAAGTGCTTATCCTCTCTCAGACTGCAGTGCCAGTCTCTCATTTGGTCTCCCCCTAAGTATGCCTGCTATTGCATCAATTTCCCTCCCCCAATAATCTGTTGGGTGGAGTAGTCAACTGGCCCTGGCACATGTCTTGGTGTCCACAGATCCACAGATGAGAAGGAGGAGGACAGGAAAAAAGAGTGGCCTGTTCCAGTGTCCCATGAGATGAATGGGGGAGCAATTCTCCTTCATATTTTTTGAAACTTAAAATTTTTGGTCTAACATTTAGTTTATGCAGTAAAAGTTATAAAGTGTACAAACCCTAAGTGTTTCACTTGATAAGGTTTTGTATATACCCAAATAACCACTACCCACATGAAGATATAGAACCACTTTCAGCACCCCAGATTTTTCCTCATGCCCCTTTCACTCAGTAACTATCTCCCACTCCTTCCCAGAGGTAACCACTCTTCTGCTTTCTATCACCATAGATTAATTTTGCCTGTTCTCAAACTTCATGTAAATGGTATTATACAGTGTGTACTCTTTGTGAGTATGGCTTCTTCTGCTTAATGTAACACCTGTCAGATTCATCCATGTTGTACATATTAGAATTTTATCTGTGTAGTCTTCTATTGCATGAATATTCAATAATTCTTTACCTACTGTGAACGTTTGAGTTTTTGGCTATTATGAGCAAAGCTGCTATAAACATTTTATGCATGTCCTTTGGTGGACATATGCATGCATTTCTCTTGAGTTTATAGATATGAGTGGGATTTTGGGGTTACAGAGGATGCATATGTTTAGCTTTAGTAGACATTACCAAACAGTTTTCCAAAGCAATTGTATCATTTTGTGTTCCCACCAGCAATGTATGAGAGTTCTTGTTGCTTTACATCTTGCCAGCACTTGGTATTGCCAATGTTTTTAGTTTTAGCCATTGTGGTGGGTTTGTGGTTATATCTTATCATGGTTTTGATTTTCCCCTTGAAATGTACATATGTGCCCTTGCTGTTGTCCCAAGGAGGAGAATTTCTGATTGGTTTGCGGGATGTGGAGTGGAAGTGGCAATGGCAGGTGATGGGATGGTGGGAGAAGCACCTTCATTAGGAGGGAGGGCTTATGAATTGTCCCAGCATTGTAGTCCAAAAGGGGTAGCATCCATGTGCCTATTTTCCTGAAGGCTGTTCCCTCAGAGGGCTGGCTCATTATTGACAGACATACTCATTTCTCCAGGAGACTGTGCTTGAGTTATGACAGGCAGAATGTGTCCCTCTCCTGAGCAGATGGGCTGCTTGGAAGCTTTTTCTGGTATTATATGAACTGGTGTGGCAATCCAGTCATTTGTTTTCAGAATGACAATGTATCAGTTTAACTACCACTCCCCTGATACACTTGCCAATTAGAAGAGAAAGTGAGGAAACAGAGCAAGAAACGATTATTTATCAAGATATGGGAAACCAAAATTTACTTTCACCTTTTTATTTGGTTTGTCGATAACCATCTAAGCACAGGAATCCCTAAAACACAGATCCATCAAGCAGGTGAGCTATCAGTCATTTTACTGCACATTTTCTCAGATTTATTCTGATTTATGGTGGGAAAATAATAGGGAAAACTGGGGATGCATAGACAATCCTAAGTGCTCTCCGTGTTCATTTTAGCCAGCCCTCGCCCCAATGCCTGTGATAACCCAAGGAAGAAATCATCAAATAAACTGACAAATAGCACTCATTGGCTTGAGAATTGAATATCTAAGTGTGAATTCTAACCTGCTACTTGCCAATTGTGTGACCGTGGCATGTTAATTGCTATTGTGGAGCCTCAATTTATTCCTTTGTAAGTACAGATTCTAAAGTTTATCTCAAGGATTTTTTGGTTAAAGATTAGTTGGAACAACAAATATGAAAGTATGTAACTTATCTAATAGGTCTCAATATATATTACTGATCTAATAGCCAAACACAGCTCAGATGTCCTTCTACAGGTGAATGTTTAAACAAACCATTGTATGTACATCCCATGAAAAACTGCTCAACAATAGAAAGGAACTGCTGAATAACTTAAATGAATCTGCAAAGAATTATGCCAAGTGCAAAAACTCAATCTTAAAAAGCGATATATTGTATGATTCCGTTTATATAATATTTTTATAATGACAAAATTTTAGAAATGGAAAACAGATTAGTGGTTGTCAGTGTTTAAAGATAGGAAGATGGCTGGGAGGAAGGTGGGTAAGATTAAAAAAGGATTATGAAAGGACTTTGTGGTGATGAAACTTCAGTACCTTGAGTGTCATGGTAGATACACAAACCTACACGTGCTCAAATTGATAGAACTAAACACACGCATGAGTACAAGCAAAACTGGGGAAATCCAAGTAAATTCTACAGATTCTTAATATTCTGAATGTACTGCAGTTTTGCAAAATGGTACCATTAGGGGAAACTGGTTAAAGGGCATGTGGGCTCTCCCTCTATTATATCTTAGGACTTCATCTAAATTGACAATTACTTCAATAAAATATTCAATTAAAATGTTACTGATCTCTTTAAGTGTAACATGCCATGGCTTATAAGAAGCACTATTTAATAAAAAGCTCAATTTAATAATTTTAAACAAAGAATACACTGCCTTATTAAATCTGTTTTTAGATTGCAGGAAAAATCCTGACTTGAGAAATATTAAAATGTGGGTGTGAAGGAGGGAGAAATTGCAAGTTAAATTAAGGAAATTGGATAGTTTCTAGTAGCTTCTATTTATTCTCCTTCTTCCTGCTCTCTCTTCAGATACCCAAAGTTTTCATTAAGCCTAATTCCCAAAGGAAGAAATAACCTCTGGAAAAAAGAAGCCACACAAAGGTGTTGTTGACTTAATTCATTTATTTATTTGTTGCTTCTCCCTTGTCTCTGCCCACCTTTCATGTCCAACTCATCATTGAGCCCTAGAATAATGACTTATAGATAGTGTGCATTACATATTTGATGAAGCTCATGAAAGGATTTTAAAACAGGACTACTGATTAGGATAATTCCTAAGTTACAGGAATAACAGTCTAATGATAAAATGTTTAGCACCTTGGCAGTTAGGGATAAAAATCATTTTTGGCCCTGTTCAAATAGCTCAACAGAACTCCCTGACCACTGTAACCTTATTCACACACAAAACTCATCATTTCCCAAATATACATTCCAAGTTTTAAAAAATTGAGCCTAAAATTGTAAGGATCTGTACACGTGGAAAATGAAATTGTCATTAACACAAGTTTGACGTCTGGTGGGTCTTCTAGATCTATCAGCTGATAATTGAAGATGAGAATTTTGTCTTCTAAATAAGGAGTGTTCTTATTCTGTTCTGGGAAGGTACTTTAAATTGTTTTACCTGGTATGTTTGAGGTAAATATTTAAAGATTTTGCCCTCTGGCTTCAAAATTCCTCTCTGGATAACAATAATTAACTTGAATTAAGGTTTATGTGAAATGCAATAAAAATAACTCAATATTTTAATTGTTGGCAAACCAATTTTCATTTTCTTGAAGTAGAAATAATGAAAAAATAGATGCCAACACTCCACTACTTCCCATGATTTTATTCTTTTAGATGTAAGGATAATGTTTTAAAATATTATCCAAATGTGTTTTCCCTCTTTGGTGGGTAGTTATCAAAGGAGGAGGAGGCAGAGGAGGAGGAGGAAGAGGAAGAGGAGGAAGAAGAAGAAAAGAAGAAGCACCTGCTGTTCTTCCGCCATTAAGATTACGCCATAAGATGAAGGCCTACTGTCCTGGGAGGAGGAGGTAGATACGACATAGAACAAAACAGTCATTGATAAGTTTTAAATTTCCACTAGATTTTTAAAATCCCTTACTGGAGCAATAGTCTTGAAAGTCAGACTAAAAAGCAGAAATAAAGGAGTTTTCATAGGACTCCCAAAGTTGGGCCCCTGTATAATAGAAACCAAAGCTTAGATGGTTACTATGGTCTGAATGTTGGCATCTCCCCAAAATTCATTATGTTGAAACCTAATCCCTAATATGATGGCATTAAGAAGTGGGGCCTTTGGAAATGATTAGACGATGAGGGCAGAGCCCTCATGAATGGGATTAGTGTTCTTTTAAAAGAGGCCCCAGAGTGCTGCCATGCTCCTTTCATCATGTGAGGACATAGCAAGAAAGTGCCATCTTTCAACCAGGAAGTGGACCTTCATCAGACACAAAATCTGCTTGTGTTTTGGTCTTGGACTTTTTAAGCCTCCAGAAATGTGAGAAATAAATGTTTGTTGTTTATAAGCTACTTGGTCTATGGTATTTTCTTATAGCGGCCCAAATGGACTAAAAACAAGAGTTGGCCATAGAAAAGCCATAAAGTAGGAAAAACAGGGACACAGTGGAAGCCAGGGACACTCGTAGACACTGGAGAAGGAACAGCCTTCCAGTTCTGGGAGGTGACACTGGGCACAGAGGAAGGAAGAAGATGCAAGTGTCCCCCTACATTCCCGTTCTTTCCATCCTCCAAATAACCCTCTTTGGGGGCAGAAGTAAGGAGTGATAGGAACACCCAAATAGGCTTGGAAGACTCTGAAAGCGTTGGTTTAAGTGACCACCTTAGCAGGCATATCTTGGATTAATACAAGCATTTCACAGAAACCTGCACAACATTGTGCCTCCTCCTTGACGAAGGAGAAGTCAAGTAACAGCAGTGGAGAGAGGTACTTCCGCAGTCTCACAGTCTCGCATACTCCAGAGGCAGTAGAGTTCCAGGACCCCTAACTTTGGCACAGAAACATTGAGAGGGCGAACGTGTTCAAGAAAGTCTGAGGACAAGGAAGCCGCAGAATTTGGGGACCTCACAATGGAGGCAATGGCAAGGTCTATGAGCACAATGTCCAAAAACCAGCCACAACTCAGTGAAGACCAGGGCAGGATGCCAAGCGAGTAGGTAGTCCAGGCTACTCCCAGAGGATAGCAGGAGGACCAGACCATCTTTTCTCCAATCAGAAAAAGGCACCTAGTTGGCTGGGTATGGTGACTCATGTCTGTAATCCTAGCGCTGTGGGAGGCTGAGGCAGGCAGATCACTTGAGCCCAGGAGTTCGAGACCAGTCTGGATATAAGGTACAAAGATGTGCTTTGGTCGAGGAACAGGCTGAGGCAAATATCCAAGCCTGCATGACTCTGAGTTTTGTGCACAGGTGCTTACCTCCACTTCTATATAACTTGTTTGTGTGAGTTCATACTTGGCTCTGAGCTACTATTGTCTGTAAAAGGTATAATTGCCCTGCTAATGCTGTACAGAGGCTCTTGGGGCTCGGCCTGGCTCAACATGGCTTCACATGGTGGGCATGCTGGTCCCAGAGAAAGAGAGAGAGAGAGAGAGCCAAAGCTGTCTGTCTTACAGATGGACAGGAGGGAGGAGGACACAGCTCAGCTTGCTCATGCCCAGAGGCAGAAAGAGTTAAGCTACTAACCCTGAAGACAAGGGAGACCCCACCATGCAGCTGCAGGTGTGGGGGCAGCAGGAGCCATAGAGCCAGACAGTAGTGGCTCAGACAGCTGAGATAAAGGTGGACAGTTTGAGAGAGCTGGTGTGAGTAAGCTGTTGATGAGAGCTGCTGCTGAATAAAACTACATTTCACCTGCCTACATCCCCCCAAGCATTCTTTCTGCCCATCTATCCACTCCCTCAGACTTCAGCATGGGCTGGACCCGGACCCCTAGATCTGACACTGGGCAACATGGCAAAACCGCAGGAGATCACTTGACCCTGGGAGGCTGACTGCAGTGAGCCATGATCACACCACCGTACTGCAACCTGGGTGACAGAGTGAGATGCTGTCTCAAAAAAAAAGGTTTTTAAAATGCATCTAGTAACCATATTGGGAAAAAGAGGGGGAAGAATTTTTGATAGGGAAAAGTCAGAAAAACAGTACACCTGAAAGATGCAATTAAAGCTAAGAAACTGAGATGTCTATAGTTAGCGCCATCAATAGGGATGGGAGCTCAGGAGCAAGACATAAAGTTATATTTCTGTACACTCCAGTATGTGAGTTTTAAATTTTGACACTGACATACATTTTTTTAAATAGTTTTTTTTCAAAGAGGAATAGAGGAAAGGGATGTAGCAAATGCTATCACTGCCCCACCTGTACCCCCTTAGCATTTACCATTTCTGTGTGTATTTGCCTGACAGCCAACTGCCAGCACCTGAAACCACTTGCCTGAGAGGTTTATCTGGCAATTGGAACAAGCTTGCCCTGGGAAGGCCAGCAGTGCTGGGGAATTAACACTTCCCAGGGAATAGCCCATAGCTAACGACTAATGGAAGTTGATGGATAAATGCCCTGGCTCACACATCCCTGGGCTCTGAGGTATGTGATCTACACTGTCTTTCACAGTCCCCAGTGGGTTTAAACTCTAATTGCCCACAGGGATGACTCGTTTGACAATGCACACTTCCTATCCCTTCTCTGTCTCAATTTTTTCACTTCATTTTTGGTGTTTTCCAGGATAACTACCTCGATAAATAATTTGCACTAGAATCCTTTCCCCAGTCTGCTTCTGGGGCAATGTAGACTATCAGGGAAGAACACGAGTGGAAGAATGGCCCAAGATAGAGGTTAGCAAACTTTTTCTATAATGAGCCAGATAGTAAATATTTTAGGTTTTGTGGGCCACATATGAGTCTCTGTTGCATATTCTTTTTTGTGTTTTTTTTTACAATCTTAGAAATATAAAAATTATTCTTAGCTAGAGGGCTGTACAAAAACAATTTGCTGATTTTAAGAGAAGAATCTATTCCAGATAAAGATTTTAGATTCCAAGAGAGATTCTTCTCTACCTCAGTGCCTAAAATTCTGGTCCTTAATATACATTTAGATTTGTTTTCAATCTCCCTTTGGAAGACACTCATTAAAAGAAAGAAGATGAGTAGGACAAACTAGTGACAAGCAGTTTGAAATATTTAATTAGAAGTTCAAAATTGAAACGGTCAGGAAAGGCAAGTTAAGAAAACAGGGACAGGTGCATAGATTGGAATAGCTGGGGCTGATACTGCTGACAGTAGACGGTAGTATCAGATTCCCCCGACTTTTCAGTACTGGGCTGCCATCATTTATTTTAGCAGAGTAACTTTTGGTAAGTTACCCGATTTCTCCAAACCTAAGTGTCTTCATCTGCAAAATGAGGACAATGATGATGGTGATGATAGTGCTAATATCTGCCCAGTAGGGTTGCTGTGGCATTTGCACAGTACTTGGCCACACAGTAAGCACTTCTTAAGTAACATAATTGGATCTATAACTATAATTGTATCAGAGCATGATCATGAAATGTAATTGGTCATTCATTTCAACATATACTAAGCACTTATTATATGCCAGGAACTGTGCTAGGCTCTAGGGGACATGAAGGTGGAGAAGATGGAGAAGAGGGTGGAAGGGCTATCTTTAGTAGAGAGAACAGTAAGAGCAAAAGTTTGGATAAATTCAAGCATGGGGTGTTTTCATAGAACATAGAATAGTAGAACATGGCTAGATGGTAAGTTGACAGATGAAGAGGGCTAAGAGATGCGGAATTCTGGGAAATGAGTTTGGGACTAAATTTTAAAGAGCTCTAAATTATTTCTAAGTCTTTGAAGGTTGAGTTTATACTCTGGTTAATGGGAAGTTACTGGTAGATTTTAAGTAGGGAACTAAAAAATTCAAACTTGAGTTTTTGATGAATCTAGCAGAAAGGATGCTGTATTGGTGGTGGTTGGTGGGGGAGGTTAGTGGGCTTGGAATCAGGGAGATTATTTAGGAAGACATTGTCTTATGTATCAGTTAGCTTTTGCTGCATGACAAACTACCTCAAAACTTAGTGGTTAAAGCAAAAACCGTTTAGCTCACAATTCTGCTTGTTGGCAATCTGGTTTGGCTCAGCTGTATGATTCTTCTGGTCTCAGATGGGCCCACTCATGCATCTGCAATCAGTGGCTGTATTGATTGGGATCTGTCTGGCCTATGATGGTGTCAGATGTGATGGCTTGTTTCTGATCCATGTGGTCTTTCATCCTTCAGCAGACTAGCCTAGGCTTGTTCACAGGGTTGAGTTTCAAGAGAGTGAGTAGAAATGCACAAGACCTCTTAAGGTCTAGGTCCAGAACTGGCACAACATCACTTCTGCTTTATTCTTTTGGCCAACACGTATCACAAAACTAGCTCAGATTAAAGGGAAGCATAATAGATTTCCTCTCTTAATGGGAGAAACTGCAAAGTCACATTGCAGAAACTGTGCATGCAAAAAGGGGAATAATTGTGACCATTTTTGTAAAACATCTCATGAACCATAGTGCAAGCAGAAGATGCTTAAGGCCTTAACTAAAGCAATAGCACATGGGAGTGAAGAAAAGGGGTTCAATCCAGCTTGGGTGGCTAGTTAGTGCTGCCAATCTTTCTAAGACAGGAAATTAGAAGATTGGCAGTAGGAGAATGTTTGGGATGATGGTCAGAGATGCTGCTGGGATAATGAATTCAAAATGTTAAGGAAGCATGGTCTTCCTTCCCTCCTTGGGCCTGATAGGATTGTCCACTTTTCCAGGTTCTTTACTTAGCTCAAAAATGTTGATACTCTGGGTCCATTTCCCCTACAAATCTGTTCTATACACTCCTCAGATAGGTTCCATTCCACTGAAAGCTTTTCATTTCTCTCTCAAAGACACAACGTCAATTCCCCACAGCTGTATTTAAGAAAGCCTTCTCATTTCCCATCTTGGTTGCTGTGGTCATCTATTGCTGTATGAGAAATTACTTCCAC